CCATGAGCACCACACCAGAAATAAATACAGTTTTGATATTCCGAGAGTACGAATTAATCAAACTAGAAATGCTCTACAAATCAAGGGACCCAGAATGTGGAATGACCTTCCCAACCATGTTAAAGACTGTACCTCTCAACCAGTTTAAGATAAAAACGAAGCACTACCTAATAAATTCCCTGTAACCTACCTTACCCCTCTATTGTCACCCCATGTCTGTTTTTTTTTTAAACAACTCTGTTTGTCGACCTAATTGTATTTGTGCTGCTTTTTCAGCCACGTTCCCCCCTCTTTATCTCTATTTTTATTTGTTCTCAACACATTTTATTCTTTATACCCAATTAGTATTAAGGTTTAGTCATTAATGTTTTTCCTGCCCGAAACGCTTTGCGTAATAGTGGCTTTAGGCATTGTATGTACTAGCTCTATCTATAAATCCATCAATCTTTGTAAAATCTCTTGTATGTATGTACCTTACCTAAATAAACATTTATTTATTATTTATTTATTTATTACACCTATCAAGGAAAAGTTTCAGATCAAGAAACAAAATTTTATACTTGTAAATAGCAAAACAGTGTGTGTGAAGTGAGTATATGTTGAGTATGTTTAGAGATTAAACAGAGTTGCTGTTTAAGTCCCAAAGTCAGAACCTGTAAAAATAGGTCTAAAATAGGTCTGACCTCTAAAATAGAGGTCAGGTCGCATCAGGTGACCTCGCTCTCTGCTAAGCTGATAATTGCAGACAGGTGGCTGTGTTGTTTCCATCAAACAAGCCACTGTCTAGGTGTGGTAGGAAGATAGCCATGGGCTATCTCCTGGTAGGCGGAGTTTAGCTCCCAATTCCCCCTTAAATACCCGGAGAACTGATATACAGATACACATTGATAGATAGATAGATAGATACAAAGAGAAAGAAGCCTTGCTACACCACAGAGGTTCCATCAGCCCAGACTAGGCCTGTCCAAGGCCAGGTGGGGACTCGGTCAGCCATACCACTCCTACCCCTCCTCTCTACCATCTTATTCTCAGAGACTTTGGAGAGTGAACTTGTAAGATTGACGTATATTGTGTTTTCAAATTTAAGTGGAGTGTGATTTTCAGGGGCACTCAGCCGTAGTTGCACTCACTTGCACGTAGTTTCACTTGATGTTCAAATATCAACATTAATTCAGACTTTGAGTTGCCACACAAGAAATTGAGTAATTACACTTAGGTAATTACTCAATTTCTTGTGTGGCAACTCAAAGTCTGAATTAATGTTGATATTTGAACATCAAGTGAAATGGTGAATTATAGCTATAGGAGTGAATATATAATAATAAATTAATAATTGATTAACTTACTTATTAAATTATCTTTAATTCTGATTCATAGATCTTAGATAATGAAAGCTAGAGTGGAGAGCACTCTGAATTGTACTTGCTAAGTTTATGACGTAAAGATTTGTGAAGGAGCGATACTTGATAATTTCAGATAATATTGTTGTACAGACAAGTTCCATTCCAACAAACTCTGCTTTCAGACAACACTCAGCTAATCCCTTTAAATCCCTAAACATGCTAAACATACACTCACTCCACACATTCTCTTGTGTCAATTATATTTATAAAACCCTCTTCTTAAGTGCAAACCCTGTTCTGAAACTCTTCCTGGACAAATGTAATAGAACACACAATCACCACATCAGAAATAAATATATCTTTGATATCCCCTGAGTCAAACTTAATCTGTGAAACATTCTATGCAAATAAAGGGACCTGGTCTATGGAACTCACTCCCTAACGAATTGAAAAGCTGTCCAACCTACGCCTTAATAAAAAATAAAACCAAAAAGTACCTAATTTCATCTTCATAGTTTCCTACCTAGTGCTTTATACTTGCACTGTATTTAGTGCTACCCAATCCCCCAATATATATACCTAAGCCATTCAACTTTACCATTGTAGATTGATTGATTGATGAAGATTAAGCCACTCAAAAGGTGGCACGGGCATGAATAGCCCGTAAGTGGTGGCCCTTTTGAGCCATTACCAGTATCAATAGATGATACTGGAGATCTGTGGAGGTGCGACTGCACCCTGCATGACGGGAGATGTCTCTGGAGTTACCATTGTAGTAATTGCCGTTATCTTATATCATGTTTACAGCATTATACCTTGCAGTAATCCGCAAATTATGCTACAATTTACCTGGGGATAACCCTTAAATTTACTTTAATGTACCTAGTAATCCTGTCAAATTTCTTATAGAAAGTATTTTTTTTATACTTTCTTACAAAGCATCCTTATACTTTCTACCTAAGAAAGTATAAGGTCTTCCTTCCTTTCTACCTCTACTTTCTACCTACCTTTCTACATACCTACTTTCTTACAATGTATTTTTATACTTTCTTACAATGTACTTTTATACCTTCTTACAATGCACCTGTAAACATTTTTTTAATTTTGATAAAAATCACCTTCTTAAAATTATGTGTTAGATTAAGGATCTGCCCAAAATGCTATGCGTGCTAGTGGCTCTACAAGTACAGTATGTAAAACTTCAATGCTCTGTACTCTCATAAACCCAATGTACATTCTTGTATATAAATAAAAAATAAATTCTTATAATTTTTTTTTTTTTTTTTTTTTTGAGATATATACAAGAGTTGTTACATTCTTGTACAAACCAGCCAAGGTTTGCCAAACCAGCCAATTAACTCTTGAATGGATGGTGGCAGCATATTCTAGCCCTTTCCTCCTTTTTCTACCTCTTTCCTAACCCTCCCATTTTCTTTCATTCTAATCTTTCCCTTTCTCCTGACCACTCTTCCTCTCTCCTCCCTTCCATCTCTCTATCTCCCTCACCCTATGAGTTTTCCTCCTTTCTTTTTCCAATTTTCAATACGTTACAATGGTGACGTTACAGAGAAAGTAATCAGGTCGAGAATGACGGAGCATTTGGAGAGAACCATCTACGTGACAGGGACACCTACCATGACCTCCGTACACTTGACCCGGTCATCCCAGGGACACCTACCATGACCTCCATACACTTGACCCGGTCACCCCCAGGGACACCTACCATGACCTCCGTACACTTGACCCGGTCATCCCAGGGACACCTACCATGACCTCCGTACACTTGACCCGGCCACCCCCAGGGACACCTACCATGACCTCCGTACACTTGACCCGGTCACCACAGGGACACCTACCATGACCTCTGTACACTTGACCAGGTCACCCCAGGGACACCTACCATGACCAGGTCACCCCAGGGACACCTACCATGACCAGGTCACCACAGGGACACCTACCATGACCAGGTCACCGCAGGGACACCTACCATGACCAGGTCACCACAGGGACACCTACAATGACCTCCGTACACATGACCAGGTCACCACAGGGACACCTACCATGACCTCTGTACACATGACCAGGTCACCACAGGGACACCTACCATGACCTCTGTACACTTGACCAGGTCACCACAGGGACACCTACCATGACCTCCGTACACTTGACCAGGTCACCACAGGGACACCTACCATGACCTCCGTACACTTGACCAGGTCACCACAGGGACACCTACCATGACCTCCGTACACTTGACCAGGTCACCACAGGGACACCTACCATGACCTCCGTACACTTGACCAGGTCACCACAGGATTAACGATTAAGAAATCGAACAGCAAGAAGCTACAGGATGACCTGGACAGACAAGGAATGGTCCAACAAATGGCTACTTGAGTTTAACTCAAGCAAGTGTAAAGTGAGGAAGATAGGCATAGGGAGCAGGAGGCCAAATACAAGGTACCAGCTGGGATTAGAAATCCTTCAGGAGTCAGAACGAGAAAGATTGTTGTTGGATTGATAAGTTGAAAGAAAAGGGTTGATATTATACCAGACCTGTTCCCTGAAGCACACATCAAAAGGATAACATCAGCGGCCTATGCAAGGCTGTCAAATATAAGAACTGCCTTCAAAAACTTGTGTATGGAATCATTAAGACCCTTGTATACCTCAGACCAATACTGGAATATGCAGCTCCAGCCTGGAGTCTACATCTAGTCAAACACAAAACAAAGTTAGAAAAGGTTTTGAGGGGAGCCGGTCGGCCGAGCGGACAGCACGCTGGACTTGTGATCCTGTGGTCCTGGGTTCGATCCCAGGCGCCGGCGAAAAACAATGGGCAGAGTTTCTTTCACCCTATGCCCCTGTTACCTAGCAGTAAATAGGTACCTGGGTGTTAGTCAGCTGTCACGGGCTGCTTCCTGGGGGTGGAGGCCTGGTCGAGGACCGGGCTGCGGGGACACTAAAGCCCCAAAATCATCTCAAGATAACCTCAAGATAAGATGCCACCAGGTTAGTCCCCGAGCTGAGAGGTATGAGCTACAATGCAAGATTACTGCAACTAAAGCTCATGATACTGAAAGACAGACGAGTTAGGGGAGACATGTTCACTACCTATAAAATTCTCAAGAGGAATTGACAGGGTAGATATAGATAAACTATTTAACACAGGTGGTACGCGAACAAGGGGGACACAGGTGGAGACTGGGTACCCACATGAGCCACAGGGACGTTAGAAGGAACTTTTACAGTGTCAGAGTAGTTAACGAATGGAATGCACTAGGCAGTGATGTGGTGGAGGCTGACTCCATACACAGTTTCAAGTGTAGATATGATAGAGCCCAATAGGCTCAGGAACCTGTACACCAGTTGATTGACAGTTGAGAGGCGGGACCAACGAGACAGAGCTCAACCCCCACAAGCACAACTAGGTGAGTACAGGGACACCCAGCCTGTAGGACAGCCTGTACTCTGGAGCAGCTGGTGACCACATTACAGTGGACCTGCAGTGTTGAGTAATGTAACACCAGAGATAACTTACTAACACCCGTCACCACGGAGATACTACACTCCACTACAGGAGCAGGAGCAGTAACGTGTCACTACAGGAGCAGTAACACCCGTCACCACCACTGCGTCACCACGGAGATAACTCACCGTGTTACTGCAGGAGGAGTAACACCCGTCACCACGAAGATAACTCACCGTGTTACTGCAGGAGGAGTAACACCCGTCACCACGAAGATAACTCACTGTGTCACTGCAGGAGCAGTAACACCCGTCACCACAACTGCGTCACCACGGAGATAACTCACCGTGTTACTGCAGGAGCAGTAACACCCGTCACCACGAAGATAACTCACCGTGTTACTGCAGGAGCAGTAACACCACAACTGCGTCACTGCTGCTCCTGAAGGTCCGGGACTAACATGGTTCCCCCCGTGGACACGACCAGCACGCGTCCACCTCCCTCACCCCTAACACCTCCCCACCCCCTCGCCCCTAACACCTCCCCGCCCTCCCGTCACCTCTCCCTCGCCCCTAACACCTCTCCACCCTCCCGTCACCTCTCCCTCGCCCCTAACACCTCCCCACCCTCCCGTCACCTCTCCCTCGCCCCTAACACCTCCCCACCCTCCCGTCACCTCTCCCTCGCCCCTAACACCTCCCCACCCTCCCGTCACCTCTCCCTCGCCCCTAACACCTCCCCACCCTCCCGTCACCTCTCCCTCGCCCCTAACACCTCCCCACCATCCCGTCACCTCTCCCTCGCCCCTAACACCTCCCCGCCCTCCCGTCACCTCCTCCTCGCCCCTAACACCTCTCCACCCTCCCGTCACCTCCTCCTCGCCCCTAACACCTCCCCGCCCTCCCGTCACCTCTCCTTCGCCCCTAACACCTCCCCACCCTCCCGTCACCTCTCCCTCGCCCCTAACACCTCCCCACCCTCCCGTCACCTCTCCCTCGCCCCTAACACCTCCCCGCCCTCCCGTCACCTCCCCCTCGCCCCTAACACCTCTCCACCCTCCCATGAATGCATGAATGTTCGTAATAATGGATAAATGTGACATGAAATGAAACATGAAATGTTTTAAGTTTAAGTATTTAATACAATCTATGGGGACAAGTAAGATATATTGTATTTACAGATAATTTACCGTGCATATGAAGGGTTGACAACAGGAAGAACGCTCCTGGTGTCACCATGCTTGGCACTTACATATCAGTACTTGCCTAACACTGTCTACGGGAAGGTGAGGTAACAAACATTGACGTTTAATTCCTGCGCCGCCATTATAATATGACGTATGAAAGAATTGATTTATATATGCAACTTATATTCTGTATATAACTAATCAATATAAGGCTAAATATATGTACAGTATATAATTTGCTTAGCTAACAGAATTTTGGGATTACGTTTCTTAGCCTATTAAGTGTCTCTGTAACCTTTCTCAGTATGGCGCAAAAGGATGGGGTTTCGGGTGCATAATAAATAAAATAAACAAACTGAGGATTGTTTACCTAGAGGACGTGCGCGCGCGTGAGGTCACGTGGCACGTGTGTGTGGGGTTGGTACGTGTTGCGGGGCGGTGGTGCCACACTTACTCCCGCCTCCCACCATCATCCACCCCTCCAGCCCTTCACACTATATTATTCCTTCTCTAACTCAATTGGATTAATAGATTTTCTATTTTAATAATAATTTTTTCCAGCTACTGATTGTAAAATTAAAATACTTTAAAATGAAAATGACATGTGACAACAGTATTCGTTGTTGCCGACTTGTCGTTCATTTATTATTCATCAGCTCTTATACATATTAATGATAAATCTAAATTTAAATAATACATCTACTAATAAAAGTATTAAACTAATAATGACAGGGCAACGGGTTTAGAATGAGTTGTAAGTGTACATTAGAACAGTGTGAGATATTGCTTAGATTAGCAGTGAGAGAGAGTAGGACGCGAGGCATCTGTCTGTAGGAGTCAGCACCGTCCAATACCCGTCCCATACCTCTGTCTGTCTCACTACACCTTCCCCCAGTACACCCACTACACCCTGCCACTGTCATCCCCAGCCTACACCACCAACAGGTAAGCTCCTGCATTACACACTTTGACCATGTTTGTATGCTAGAGCCGCAGAGATTTTACAGGTTGGGCTGACTAGGATCTTACTAGATCCTAGTTCTAAGACCCTTACTAAATTCTAAGATCCTAGGATCTTACTGACTAGGATCCAACCTGATCTTACAGGTTGGGCAGGAGGCTACATTCATCTGCACCTTAAAACAAGCTTCCCACAGTCCCATATAAGACGTTGTTCTGGAGACTAGAACACACTGAGGGCGTGACAGGGAGACTTGTAACATAGATGAACTATTGTCTAACTCACAAAAAAATGCTGGCAGTAATGAGAGGCAATGTATGGAAGATAGTCTTGTGGTGTATTATCAAATCAAATCAAATGAAAATCAAATATTTATTCAGGTAAGGTTCATACATACAAGAGATTTTACAAAGAGTGATGGATTTATAGATAGGGCTAGTACATACAATGCCTAAAGCCTAAATTAATAGATCATCCTGTCAGGTGGGGGTATTACATGAGCTTACTGCTAGTTTTTTATCTATATTCTCTAACCTTTCATATAGAATAAGGTAGCAGCACACAGTTGTGTATGCCTAAGCTTGTTAATAATCAAAACAAAGGGCAGAAGTGTCACTACTGGAGTTCACAGGGTTCAAGCACCAGTAATGTAAACTCGCCCCTCGGGGCAAAATTTAAAAAAAAATTAATTTCATTGTCTACATTAACGACCTTCCATAACGATTAAATAATTATATGAACATGGTTGCTGATGATACAAAGATAATAGGGAAGATAAGAAACTTCAGACAATTGTCATGACCTTCAAGAAGATCTTGATGAAATAAGTGCATGGAGCACCACTTGGTAAATGGAATTTAATGTGAATAAATGCTGCATTATAATTATGGAATGTGGAATAAGAGAAAATAGACTACACACAACCTACAAATTACGTGAAAAAGCTTACATCTATATGTATGATAACATACATCTACTCCTCACATTCTTTTCTGCTGTTTACATATACAAAACCTTATTTCTAAATGATAATGCTGATCTGAAACTTCCTTGATAAATGTAAAAGAACCCATGAACACCACAACTGGAAAAAATATCTCTGATATCCCCAGTCAAACTAAATCTTTTATTTATTTATATACAAGAAGGTACATTGGGTTTGTGAGGATACATATCATAGTGATTACATTCTTGTAAAGCCACTAGTACGTGCAGCGTTTCGGCAGGTCTTTAATCTAACAGATAATTTCAAGTAGGTAAATTCTAGCAGAATTTATAAAAGTGACAACAGGTACATTGCAAGAAAAAAATGAGATGAGTGAAATTAGTAGGTATATTAAAGCACATTAGTGGCTCTGATTGATTGCATTGACAGCTTGATTGGTAATTTAACAAAGATTAATAGGCACCATACAGCAATTTGATAGCACATATAAGACAGCAATGATCACAATGGTAAAGTTGTATGGATTAGGTACAACAAGATTGGGAGATTGCGTAGCACTACACAAAGGGCAATTTTAAAGCACAAGGTAGGAAACTACGAAGATGAAATTAGAAATTAGGTACTTTTTAGTTTTGTTTTTGAATGACGCAAAAGTTTGACAGCTTTTCAGTTAATTAGGGAGTGAGTTCTATAGACTAGTTCCCTTTATTTGCATAGAGTGTTTACACAGATTAAGTTTGACGCTGGGGATATCAAAGATATATTTATTTCTGGTGTGGTGATAATGGGTCCTATTACATCTGTCCAGGGAGAGTTTCAGAGCAGGATTTGCATTTAAGAACAGGGTTTTGTAAATGTAGTTGACACAAGAGAATTTATGGAGTGAGATTATGTTTAGCATGTTTAGGGATTTAAACGAGGGGGCTGAGTGTTGTCTGAAAGCAGAGTTTGTTATTGTTCTGATAGCAGATTTTTGCTGGGTGATGATGGACTTGAGGTGGTTTGCAGTGGTAGACCCCCATGCACAGATACCATATGTAAGATAGGGATAGATTAGCGCATAATATAGTGAGAGGAGAACAGAGTTTGGAACATAATATCTGATTTTAGAGAGTATATCAACTGTTTTTGAGACTTTCTTGGTTGTGTGTTGTATGTGAGTGCTGAAGTTGAGTCTCTTGTCTAAGTATAAGCCAAGGAACTTTCCATCATTTTTATTGCTGATGTTAATATTGTCTATCTGAAGCTGAATTGCATTTGTTGATTTGCTTCCAATAAGATGTAGTAGGTCTTTTCTATGTTTAGTGTGAGTTTGTTGGTTGACATCCACAAGTGAACTCTCTTTAGTTCATCGTTTACAACATTATTTAATGTGTTTGAGAAGCCGCTGACTTCCTGTTCTTGTCAAGGCCACGTGTGTTTTATTATAATAATAATGATAATAATAGTAATAATAATAATAATATTTTATTTGCAAGAATGTACAATAGGTTGGTGAGATTACTTTTAGAGTGATATTTTAATATTCTTGCAAAGCCACTAACACACATAGTCAGTGGCCCTCAGGTAAATTCAGGTACAGTATTTACTTTCTCAACCAGGTGTACCTTCTTGTATGTAAATATATAAATATACAGTAATCTATTCTATCAATTAGTAATGTAGTTTTTATGTTTAACTCAAATTCAGTTACCTTTATTGTTTAGCTTAAGGACCTGCCTGAAACACTAACACTTAATGGCTTTGCAAGTTTCACTCAAACCCAATGTATGGACGCTCTCAACCCAATGTACCTTCTTGTATATAAATAAATAAATAAATTAAATATATTAAGAAAAAGATCTGGGGCTGGTTATATATAGAAAACAGTCACCTGAGGACCATAAAGAACATTGTGCGAGGAGCCTATGCTATGCTTTCCAATTTGAGAATTGCTTTTAAATACTTGGATGGTAATCCAAGTATTTACAAAAATACAGTCATCAGCGGCAAATGCTGGGTTGGCCAATATAAGAACGGCCTGTAGAAACTTGTGTAAGGAATCATTCAGAACCCTGCATACCACATATGTCAGACCAATCTTAGAGTATGTGGCTCTAGCATGGAGTCACATGCTGGCATGCCACATGACACAAGCACAAAACTAAATTGGAGAAGGTTCAGAGGTATGGAAATAAATAAATACAGGGTTAAATGGATGCTATATTGTATTGATGTGCTATATTGCAGCTTATATTGGGATCTAATTTGTACATACCAGGGCTTACATTAAGGCTGTTGTTACATTGTTTGATCAGAGCGGACTCAATCACATTTCGTTCAACGAAACCCTTACTTTTAACAGTACATTTTGCCCCTCTGAAGTTGATTGATTGATCACATAAACTGGAATATAAATACAGTGCATTCTCACTCTAATGAACCCTGCTCTAACGAATTCCCAGATGATCCGAACAATTGAATTTAGTACTAAATGTTCCGTGGAACATTTAAATGATTGATTAAGCGAGGATTGTTTGTTAAGCTGTCGCCGAGACCGAGCATTGGAGGTGGCTGTCATCAACTATGATTCACCAAAGTGTAAACAGTTGTACAGTGTTTTATTTTGCTTACCCATTGTTTCCAGGGAGAAATAATTGAAAGATGATAAAATGGTGTCAGGGGAGGCAGGTGGTGTCAGTGGTGGAAGTTGTTGTCAGGGGAGGCAGGTGGTGGTGTCAGAGGGGAAAGTTGTTTTCAGAAAAAGACTGGTGGTGGAAGTTGTTAGAAATGACTGGTGGTGGAAGTAGTTGTCATGGGAGGCAGAAGTTGTCAGTGGTGAAAGTTGTCAGAAAAGAATGGTGTTAGTGTTGGAAGTTGTGAGAAAAGACTGGTGTCAGTGGTGGAACTTGTCAGGGAAAGAAGGGGGGGGGGAGTTGTTGTCAAGGGAGGCAGGTGGTGGAAGCTGTCAGGGGGAGGCAGGTGGTGTTAATGGTGTAAGGGAAGGCAGGAGGGTGTCAATGGTGGAAGTTGTCAGGAGAGGCAAGTGGTGAAAGTTGTTGTCAGGGTAGGCATGTGGTGTAGTAGTGAATGTCACTGAAGGCAGGAAGTGTCCTGTCAGGGGGAGGTGTCATTACACATCAGTGAAACGCTGCATATCAAGAAATCCAGACCAGCAATCAATAACCAGCTAATACACAAGTTACACACTACCCACTTTAAGACCCCGGGCCAACACAGAAGCAGGACTGAATGACCCTGCAATAGGAATGGAAGCAACCAGAAGAACATAAGCCGACAACATGACACACTCTTATGTTGATATATTGGGTATTATTAATACCCATGTATTGTCATTCATCTATGTCACCTTACTACCTCACCATAAGAGGATATAACCAGGTGCTAACACAGTAGAATATATATATATACTGTATATATATATATATATATATATATATATATATATATACAGTATATTTATTTACTATTATTATAATAATTATAATAATAATAATTGCTGGGTGATGATGGGCTTGAGGTAGATTGCAGTGGTTGAACCCTATCTTATCATACGGTATCTGCCAATGCACAGATACTGTATATAAGATAAGGAAACATTAGGGCATAATATATTGAGAGGAGAACAAAGTTTGGAACATAACATCTGATTTTAGAAAGTATACCGACTATATTAATATTATTATTATATATTATTATATATTATTATTATATGGGTGATGATGGGCATTCAACATATACAGGTACTGTAAATGCATGAAAAAAATGAAAAGAGTGAGATTACTAAAATCAGGGAAAATGTATGTTATGAACCAATGATTTGGATTTCACTCTACTGTACTGTTGTGTATATTGATTGAATTCAGGCAGAAAATGTACATTTCTGTGGGAAGCACTGTTGTCTCCCTGAATTTATCCAAACTGACATGTGCCATATTTGTTTGGTGTAATCAGTCACAAGAGTTCTATATGCCTTTGGAGATTACAAGGCAGAACTTGGTCCCCTCAGAGAGGCACAGGCAGCAATGGCTATATGAG